GGGTCAAAACAGACAGAATATGACATAATATTTAGCGTGAATCAAATACATATATATATATATATATATGTATTATTTGTTGTTCAAGGCAATTCTATTTCATTAGAATGTAGCATGGAGGCTTCAACCAAAATCAATGAATAACAGAGTATGTGTTCAGAATTTTTTATACAACATATAATTAAAAATATAGATGAAATTATTGTTGATACTTATTATTGAATCAAAGAAAAATTTGGTTCTTAAAAAACTTATCAACAAAATATTTAATACTTAATGTAAAAAGATTCCAATTAGAAACAATTAAAATATGTGAATAATAATATATTCTAATCTAAGTTCATCATTTTTCTATCAAAAATTATGTTTCTGGAAGAGGAAATCCTTGGTTCAGCTGTTATTATTTATCGAAATGAGAGATTATATTATGTTTTGATTATGTACATACACGTTATATAGAATTTATACAGCTGTGAAAAAACTTATTCAATCGAATGCACACAACAACTACCGTGATGAGGATGAAACATGAACAAAAAATTAATTTTTTTTTTTTTTTTTTTTTGTTAAAGAAGAGATATGACATAACAACTAATTATTATTCGATGATGTGTGAGAGAGGGAGCGAGAAAGAAATTTGAACTGTTTCCAGATAAATAGATAGATGTAATTTTTTTTTTTTTTTGTTAGCGTTGACACGTTTTTAATGGTGATTTATTGATTTTTATAGTTCCTGATCATAGTTATACACACAGAAAAGAACATAATTAGATTTTTTACAGTTATGAACACGCTGAGTTACAAACATATTCATCTATCAAGACACATCGTTATTTCTCTGCTGCTTATAGTTTTACTCATTACATAGTCGAAGTAAGTTTTTTAGAAGTATCAGTACTTTAAAGTTGTATATCGCTCATCGTTCATTTATATCTGCATGCTTGATGTGATGAAGCTTTCGGATTTTACTGTGGGAATTATTTATTTATTAATTAATTTTTTTTTTAAATTAATTTTATGCAGTAAAGGTGGCTTGGTATACATAAATCTAAATTTTTCTTACATGCACACCGCCAATTTTGTGCGGAAAAGACAAATATGCTTCCTACCATCTTTCACCTTCCATTGATTGAAAAATAGTTCACGCTAAGCTACCAAGTTACAGTCTTACAAGTCTGCTTCCTACACTATTCAAGCTACCGTTTTCTACATTCTACAATACTCTGTATGTTGCCCTAACAGGTATAGCTCATTAATCGCAAATTTCATTGGAGACGCCTGTTCTTCTTATTCCTTGACGAGTTACAATAGTTCATTTTTGTGCCATATTTCTGAGTTATTGAATGGGAAATTAGATCTTAATCATAGTACACAGAGGAAACATATAAGAATAATCTGTAAATATACACATAAGCATAAATAGTTATATATACAATTATAGAAACTAATTTGTCTCCTCTCTTTTATTCATTATGAAAGATTTTTGGGTGCTGATAAGTAAGAAGAATATATTATTTATTTAGACAAAAATATGTTAATAATCTAAAGAGAGAAAGAGATTAAAATCGCTATGCGTTCAATTTCCGTTTTCACACAAAATGTCACATAGAAAAAAGTAGAAGATAACGGTCTGTTTACGTCAATATGATGATGTACAGACACGCAAAATAGTTTAGTCTACATATATATATAGATAGTCTAAATAGAAAATTTCATGTAGAAATAGTGTGTAATAGGGATAATCAATAGATTTACCGTTCAGTTGCTTACTATTCCTACTTATTATTCCATTGCTCAAGGACCTTTACTATACTTAAGTCTCTTAATTGTCGGACAGTATTATACTCGCATGCGATTCTATAGATATTTATTTTCGTATTCTTAACACATATTATATAAGACTAGTATTTGTTTATTGATCGACATGTTCAAATCTGTTAGATCTACCTTTGTATACGTGTTTAATTTGACAATATTAAACATAAATGAATGAGTTCTAGTGTAAACTTTCAATGATCAGCTGTGTTTTGTGTTTAAGCTATTTCTCTTTCTTTTATTTTTTCTTCATTCTTCTCTCATAATCACTCGTTTCTTTTTCTTTTTTTTTGTTGTACATATTTAACTCTTTATATTTTTTAAATGATATAGATTTTTTGTCTCGACACTCTATTCTTTGTATAAAAAAAACAACTACAGTTTTGCTTTAGATGCCGTTCGTACCAACGATATCGTTATGAAGTAGTGTCAGTTATTCATTTTTATAGGAGAAGAAGAAAAAAAAGACTCAAAGATTAGAATTATTAAGTTTTCAATATGTGTATGATTTCTTCGTTTTTTTCCCGACTTTTGTCCATATCATATTTAAATGTATAAGTAAAAAGCCTCTTTCTCTCTTTTTCTTCTTTTCTTGTTCTATGACATAGCTGGAGAGTTGAGAATCAAATTTCACAATGAACATCTACCTGTTGTAAGTGTGTGCATGGTTCTATTCCAGAAAATTTTAAATTCTCGTACAAGTAAAGTATACATTACCATAATCAAAGTATGAAAAATAAAGGTAATGAGACAATGTTTTCAATAATTTTAAATACAATGGGAATTTTGAATTAAATAACCTTAAAATACTGTAACGAAGTCAAATAACTTGTTCGAATTTTCCTGTTTTACTTACTATATCGATTTTGAACTATTGAAGCATTAATTCATAATTTAAAAGAGGATACATACCAGTTAGTTATAGTTGTATTATTGATCCAAGAAATTATGATGTCTGGTCATTAAGGTATATTGAACCACGCCAATCAGTCATTCAATATTTGATTATTAATGATACTATGGTATTATAAGATTATTTATGATTACACTGTTTTCTGTAACTTTTTTTGTGACAAATCTTTGAAAAATCAGTCTACAAAAAGTAGCAAAATCTAGCATGAACTTGTGAAATTTTACAAGTAGTAACGTATCTTTCTAAATTAATTATTTTCATATCGTATTTTTGTATACACTGATAGAAAAATCGTTTGAAACCGTACACCAGTTTTTAAGCGTGATTAGAGAGAGTCTTTTAGTTTACCGCGATGATCGACAGTGACAATCTGCTTGATTTCTAACAGCCTGGTGGAGGTAAAAATAGACATCCCATTCAAACACATCACATTTTAACCAAAACATCAAGTCAGAGAAATAATTAGTTGGTCGAATTGATCCTTGGTTTATTTTCATATAGTTAGTAGCAACTAGCCTAGATTATGGACAAAAAGCATTTTTGCAATTAATTTATGATATGGTTAGATATTAAGCTCACTAAGTTATATACCTAAACGTAACAAGTTTTTGCCGTCCGATACACATTTCGTACGATGTACGGGTTTTTCCTATCGTTTTCGGATATAATCAAGATGAATAAAAATTTCTTTATGTAAACTAAATTAGACCGGATAGGTGTTTCTATACTAAACGATAGATATTTGTCTTTGAGAACTCGTTTATTTTAATTGTCTGTCTCTTTTTACTCTAGTTCGTAAAATTAACAAAAGAAAATTTTGCGTACAGCTGAGTCTTAACAAGTTCCAATAAAAATGAGCTCCAAAATCAGATGATAGAAACAGAAAGATTCTGTAAAAAATAGTATGTTCTGAATTAATCATTTCTCTGACTTAATAAATAGTGATATGTTGATTAAAACTCAATGTATCAAGCATCTTCGCGTAAGATAATATAAGACCTCGAAAGATCACTTGGCAAAATTTACTAACATGTGTTAGTTCATTGAGTATGTGTAAAAATGAATAAGAATATAATGCATATTATATTGTTTGCTTTTGTATTATATTTGTGTAGCACAGTATATCATTGATATTGTATTCGTGCTCATGAATATCAGACATAGAATAATTGATAGTCTATAGTCTTTAATTCATTTTACTGTTTTACAATGTTATTGTTGTTTGTTTTCAAAATCCCATTGACAGGAAATTTGAATGTACACAGCTTGAATTAACTTGTTTCTTGATGACATGTAATTAATCGCGTCTGTTCTATAAGCATCTTAATAATCATGCTGACAGACAATGAAATATTAACATTACGTACAATAGGGTTAGTTCTATTCTGCACACATACACACGCACACATACATAAGATGAATTTCTAATCGCTTTCCACTGTTCTCATAAATGTTTCTAGTTTACCCTATTAAAATATATTAAAGAATAATTTAGTCGTGTTTCGACATTCTTACAAGTAGTATGTACTGAAGATAGAAATTGCTATTTCACCGTTTGTTTTATATCATTCTGAAAACTAAGTCAGTATCAACATTTGTACCGTTTTATAATGCGACCCTTATCGTTAATATAGGATATCGTCATTGATTTTTAACGTTATATTACGCATTTGTGACATTTATTTGGATAAGTATCATTGCTATTTAATTACATCATATTCTCAACAAACAGCATCAACTGGAGTTTCCCTTTAATAGATATATCGAATTTTATGTATATACATGTATATATATATATATATTACTGGTATAAATCATTTTAGTACTGCGCCAGGAGTTCTCATATACTAGATCTAATTGAAAAGAAAGAATAAGAAATAACACGTATAAAGTACGACGCAAGGGATTTTCTTATACTAGTCATACTTAATTGTTCACTGTAGGAATAGAGAGAATGATACTGATTTCTTAAAATTGGTCAAGTGCCGTGTTGATTCGACAACAGGTGGCCCGCTCAGTAAAACCAAAAGAAAAAGAAAAATGCAAAGAAAAATTTTCTTTTGACAAAAACGAAAAATATCACTTAATATCGCTTTTATAGCGTAAGACTAAACTCATCAAAATAATATATATCGTCTACCACAAACATAGTAAGTGTGTTATGACGATACAAAAAAAATACTTGGAAAAGTTTTTTTTTTAATTAACGTTTTATACATAAGATCAATTCTGTGAAGATACGTAATAAATTTATCTTTATACCTTTCAAAACATGACGTTTCGTACGTGATATTGACCATTTCTTGCCGATATTTTGTTAATATGTAATTCTTTTTACGTTAAATACATGTACACAAAATAAGTAACAATGTTCATGTTTTTTTTTATTTTATCTTTTACTTCTTAGCTTGGGCGAGTGTTGATTGTCTTCCAACATCAACATCGAACAGTGTTAATCCAAAACAATTGTCTACCGATTATCTTAAACACAACAGATCATTACTCAATATGCGTTCAAATACACATCTAAACAACCGTCAGAATGATATTAAACGGCTGGTAAATGATGCACGAATATCCCCACAAACAAATTCAAGCGGCTATCACAGTGATTTATCGTGTTTATCATCGGCTAACGAATCTCCACAATTGGATGTTCAACCTGAAGCAAATAATAGATATGCACCTTTAGCAACAAATTCAACTTTAAAAGAAAAAAGTGCCACTGTTTGTCGAACAAACAATATTGAATGTGATGATCATCATCAAAAACAAAAGTCAAACAATATTATTCCCAATAAATCTCGATTTCAAAGTTTTCTTCGACGACAGTATGAAAAAGCAAAACAAAAATTATTACCAAAACCATCGAGTACAAAAAAAGCACCAAATACTATAACCACTAATGTTACCACTACTACTATTGGAACGTCAACGTCATCAAATAGTATCAACATATTGTCTGATAGCAATAATTATAATAGTGTCAATACTAACAATAATCACACAAAACAACCGAAACAGTATCTAACATCCGTTTATCAACATTCAGTTGGTTCCGAGCCGGTTAGATCAGTTTAAATTAGTTTAATCTAGATACTTTTAGTAAAATTACGAGCAGCCTAGTATTAGCACTTATGAATCAAAAGTCTTCGTTTTTTCGTAGAATCTAGAGTGTAGATCTAACAATCGTATAGATAACTGGTGTAGTGATTTTTCCATAAGTCTAGAAGATGGATCAGAATGACTTTCTCTCTCATCCTACTTTTTGTTTTTCCTCATTCAAAATATTTTATCAAAATATAAAGCAGCCACACTTTACATGGTAAAATTTAAAATCAAACTCATGAGACATTTGGATAAACTTTTAAAACCCATCCTGCTTTGAAGATTGAGCTACGCCTCTTGATTTCTTCTTCACGTTACGATTCATGTGCCGAAGCCGTAATGTTATTCTTTTATGTTTAGATATATTCGGTATATGTTTATCCAACTCATAAGCTAGCATCTAAAAGTGACTATACCCCAATACACGAATGTTACTCATCATCATCATTCTCAACATCACAACAGCCTTATTATTCGACTAGAAATTATATACCAGTGTCAACAACAAAAAATCCCAATTACGATTACTTACCAAATGTGAACAACTCTTCTTTCTTGAATAATGGTCCCAAAACATCATTATGTTCCGGAAGTGGACAAAATACTGCCAGACGTGTATCTAACTACTACTGTCCATACGCTGATAATTTTCAAATACAGCGCAGTTATCCGATTAATCAACAACAAACCGCTACTATACCCACTCGTTCTCAATATTCTCATTTTCGATCACCTCATTCAAAAACAATATCTGATTTAATCTCACGTACACATCATCAACAACGATATCAATATACAAATGACAGATATGAACATCAAAGTGTACTACCACCATCCGATCAATATTATCGAAATTATATTCCAATAAGTGAATGCTCACAACAATTGAGAAGTGTTGATGATGACGGAAAAAGTGCATTTAAACCTTTGAAACGAAATATACCAATGAAATCATCGATACCATCCACAACAAATATAATAAATGATGATGTAATTGATGATAAACTATGTGATTTAGAAGTGGCAAAATATTTCAAAAATAATCCAAATTATTTTGATGTTTATAATGAGTCAACACTTCAATGTTTATATCCAAAAGCATATAAATTACCAATTCAAAACTATGTCGAAACATTATGCTAATCATCTTCTTTAGTCTTAAATTTTTTTGTTTGTGCGTTATATTTTTTATCTTTTGTTCATCTGTTTTTTCGAACTTGTTTTTCAATTAAATACAAGCGTATAATAATGTGTTTGTATAGAATATATTTTTACAACTTCAAAAGGTACATTAATGCATTTATATATTTTTGTCAAGTCATGTATCTATTTTCACACGCTACTGATTGATTATTATTATTTATTTGGTAATTGAATGGACGTGGATATTTTTCAAATAATTCAAGAACAAATAGTGATAGAGGCATGCAATTTTCATTATTTAGAAGTGAAACGATGAGATTATTCTTTTTTTAAAATTCACATTTAACAAATCTTTTCCCAAGAAGACAGCTAGAGAATCTTTGAAAAACTAGTTTAACAATTTCTAAAAAATAAAATGACAACATTTTCGTTATTTTGTATGCAAATAGTCCCAGGTGTCCTCTTCAGTTTGACTTCAAGATTGAAGTCAAAGAATTCCTGTCGTTTTGAGTAGTTTATTCGAGGTATATAATCCATTTTCGATGCCCCATCATAATTTTGGTATTAAAAAATACAAGAAAAATCTTCTCTATTTTAGATGTTTAAGAAGCCAACACCCTTTTTTAGGACTTGGCTAATTTTTAAATAAACGAAGTTATGGAACAGTTCAAATTCATTATATTCTGATAGTTTTAAACCATTTAAATCTATTTTGAGTGGGTCATGATGTTTTAGTTTTAGGAGAAAATAGCTCATATTAGTAAAAAATAGGTTTTCAGGAGGATGTTTCATAAACATTCTTAAGTATATAAAATTAACACGTAAGTGTACAAAACAAAGACTTAAGTCGAGCACTTAAGAATTTTTATGAAACACTCTCCAGTAAATTCTCAGATTTATTTCGCGAAAAGAACGTTGTCACAAGATTAAGAGTGACTGATTAGATATGTAATGTACATTTTGAAGGTTAGTCAAAATTCTGAGAATAGAACTTTCAAGAAATTCACCACCTAAAACTACTAAACTAAAAGACTAAACTACTGGTCTCGTTTGATTCCGATTTTGAAGAGGATACATGAGCCTATCTATTCATAAAAATAAGTTGATAGTCTCAAATAAAAAAACAGATTTTGACTCTAATTCAGATTGCTTTAATTGTACCACTAATGCTCTGTTTGCAAATAGCTATCAGTTAGTTGTTTAACAAAGAACATTTTTCTCCGTTTCTCAAAATTCAAACTTGGTTATTTATACGAAAAATTGAATGCAAAACAGGAGTTATAGTTTACGACTGTTCTTTGTCTAGTCGATTCTAGAGGATTAATCTCAATAAATACCCCTTTATCTCCCTCATACCATGATAAGATGAGGAAAGTGGTAATAAAGTATTCCAGTTTTTCGTTCTACACTTAAATTCATACTCCTTCCTTGTAATAGATTACATATGTTGAATTTTCATAAAATTCGGAAGGATGAATAACTCCGTTATACGTGAAAATCTCGGGTTTAGACTTGATTTAGCGAAGACGAGCGGTATCATATTATAATAGTAAATTACATATTTCATGCTGACGTTAGTAATATTTATGCAAGAAAATTTTTTCCAAAATATTCCGACATGATAACAGTAACGCATGAAATAATAATGAAAATGGAGACAGTCGCATCTTTGGAATGTACGTTAAATGTATGTCAAACATATCACTTAATAACTCCAATTGTGATATCATGATATAGAAGCATTTTCTACGATTCATTGGGTATTTTTAAAAATATTTCTATTTTCTGGTTGTATTATCTCCATCTTTTTTACTCGCATTTTAAAGTTATGATATTGCTTTTTTCGCCTTCTTGATAAGCTTGAGAAAGTGGAAACGAAAATTGTTTTTTTTTCTTTTTAAAGATTATAAATTCGCTAGCCATGATTGACGCGATAATTCTGATAAACGAGGACGACGATTTTCATTAAAACTTAAACATTGTTTTAGTGTATGCATAGCCTGTTTATCTGTACTAGTAACAAACGATAACCAATTTCGACCATTCATTATTTCAACTTTAGAACGGAAAGGATATTGTTGAAATAATAAAAAATATAAACAGATGCCAATTGTCCAAACACATGCTGCTTCGCCACTATAACGGCGTTGAGTTATCCATTCTGGAACCATAATTTCCAAAGTGCCCTACGAATAAATATAATAGAAAATAATCTGCGTTGTTATTAGATGGGAATAAAAAGTTTTGTAAAGTGAGTGTGTGCTGTCCCATGACGAGCTCTTTTTTAAATCTGTATAACTATTCGTTCTTGAGATATTTAAAAAACATCCACTTCCATTCAATTGCGAAATAAATAATAGTAATCAATCAGTAGCATGTGAACCGCGATTACTGTGCGGTTTTCGGAACTACCACACACTAACCGTGTCGATTCATTCACATTTTTGTTTTGTATCCGTGAAAGTAAAAAAGAAACAAAGAAAATTTTAAAGAACTTGACTTTTTTCACATTAACTTTTTTCAGATTATAGGCTCTTCGAAGTTTGAAGTTTCGACTTAAATCAAATTTTTTTCAAATACTGGGAGCCTTCATGCGCTTAAGCACTTGATAATAACAAAAAAAGAGAAAGTTTGAATCTAGTTTTGAACTCGTGCTCTACGTGTTCATAATGAAAAAATACCAGACGGTTACCACTCAGTTCGATCAACCGTGCGGTAATTTCGACTTACATGGCGGCATGCCTTACAGTATATTTGGCGGTGACCGAGCAGTATTTTGCCGTTATTTATAACATGGGGTATGCTGTTATTAAAAGTTTTTGACACATCTTCCAGGTCTTCGACTAGGATTTAGTCTATATACATACTCATTGTCTGCTGAATGAATAAATTTATCTCAACACTAAGCATTGTGAAAAGTGAAAACATTTTTTATCTTTCAAAACAGAAACAAGCGAAAAGAATCAGTCCATATTCAGCATGGCAATAAGTATTATCTTACTGTCTGTACAGTCATTAAAGATGATGAAAGTGTTTCTTTTTCCTGTTGTGTCACTTGCGTCAAGTAAAAGGGCGTGTATGCAAGCGACAAAAAAGAAAAACACACAAGAATTCCTGATCAGAATCTTACTCGAATCTTAGCGAAACGTTATCAAATTTCCAAATTTTATGATCACACATCTTAATAAGATTTCGCTAAGATCTTATAAAAATTTATGTTGCTTTATGAAAAGCTTTTTTTAACATTAAATGGAACTTTGTCTGCAACTTATTAGGAAACATCACAAATTTTAATAAAATCCATTCATAATACATTAAGATATTCTATGAATACTTGTTGAACGTCTTCGAGAGAGTAAATACGAACAAAGTCTGAAAGAAATTTGACAATATAATATTCATTCACTTATATAACGTTTTCAATATTATTTATATAACTGTATCAGAACAGGATGAATGAAAGAAAGTAGAATCATCGAATCTTATTTAATCTTAATCAAGATCTCAAACGTAAGATTTGTTAAAATCTTAGTAAGATAATTTTAAGGAGTGCCTAAGATTTTTATCAGACCGAAACTGAACGTCTAATGTCAGTTATCTCGATCATCATATTACAAAGACAAATATATAAGAGGTTAATTGTCTATAGCGCGAATAATTCAGTTTTGACCCTATAAAACAGTACTACCTTGAAACTGGTCGATCTGACATGTAGACAATAAAATGTCGAAAGAGAAAAGATAATTGCTGAGCTGTTAAAAGCGGGTCTCTCAACTACCATTTATCTTTTCATTCTCCAAATTAGTTACTAACATTCTTGTCTAATATAAATAGCTCAGCATGTCAAGGTAGATGAATAATACACTTTTTGAAAATAATGTGCAAACAAATTTCGATGTGTGCAGGACCAGTAATTTACGTATCGATGATCCTCATTCTTTTGATCAAATTTTGTACAGCATTTTCATATCATATAGTTTACCTGAAATTCTCCAAAGTCGCCTGACTGCATCGGTGCTGCTGATCCAAAGTCGATAAAACATAATGATCTATCATTCATACAATAGAGAATATTTTCTGGTTTACAATCTCTGTGCCATACACCATACATTTTCAGTGTGATATTAATACGTATTATTTCGAGTATGATATGTCTTAATAGTTCAGTACTTGCCAATGATCCATTTTCCATGACATATTCAAAAATTGTGACACTAGCCGGTATTTTTTCCATTATAAATATAAAACGATCTTTCTCTTCAAAATGTTCTAATATTTTTATTACGCCTGGTACACCTCGTAATCTCCACAATATTTCAATTTCATATGGTACACGTTTCTACAAAAGTAAGCGATACTCATTCACTACGCAATCAATAGGATGGCTGGTAGACTTACTCCTTCGAATGTTCCCCAGTTGAGAATACTTGTTTTGGGTAGAAATTTGATAACAACTGCTGCATTATCAAATCTTCGTCTTCCTTCATATGCACGGCCAAAACCACCGACACCTACAGTCAACAAGCGAGTCTTCAAAATCAAGTGGAAAAAGAAAATTTGGTATCTAAGTAGCTTCCCGACAACAATTTTTTCAGAACACATAGTTCATTTGACTACATGCTACTTCTCTCTACGAATAACGTTATTATGAATTCTAATGTGAGCAAAATGTAATAGAATATCGTAACCAGAGAAAACCGTTTTTCATTACCTATACAACCCAACGTCTCATAATCGCGATTAAATGTCTTTCTCCTCACTGGTTTCGAATAATATGATGTATCTGAATAATAATCGGATCTGTCTGGCATATTGGCAAATACACGAGGTGATGTCTAGAAAAGTAATGGGTTCACATACAAAGAAGAATAGTGGGTTATAAAGTTGTTTATTTACCAGACGATCAGTGCTCGGATATATGTAGTCACGATAGCTAACGTCGAAAGATGTAAGCGGCGATGATTTCTTTTCTAACCACGGAGATGAATGAAGCCAATGTTCGTCAACAGTCGTTAACCAATCCATGATTTGTTTCTATGTCAGATCAGTCGAAGGTAATCGGCGGGCTAATATATTTTAAACAAAACTATGTTTTTTTGTTTACGTGTTGTCCTTGATAAAGTATGACTAAATCATAAAACAGCAATTATTTATTTTTCCGTAGATATTAAAGTAAACAAAATGTTTATTTTTGTACGTGTGTAGTATAAAGAGAGGACAATTTATCGTACGTTGATATTATTTTACTATCAAAAAAATTTCGGTAACAGATGCGTACCTATGCGTCTTACAGGGTAGCTATAGGCAGAAGAAAAAATTAAATTGCAAGAAGTTATGATTTTGTACGGCTAGAGTGAGAGTAATACGTGAAGAATAACTCACACCTTACTTAGGTAATATATAGGACAATTAACTCATAGTGGTTCAGGTAGGAGAGAGAAAGACAAAACTCTATGAAAGCAGGTAGATCAACAAGAATGGGACAAAAATAATGATATACATAGTTCATATATCACGGATGAGTGAGTGTTTATTCCATGAAATGTTTCAAGAGGGTACAATAAAATCAAACAAATAAATCGTATAACCATACGATTCACCCAATTTGGTAGTACTATAGGTAAAAAATGAATCAGCGTTAAAGGGAAGAGGGTCGCTGTTACCTACGTTTATTCAGATATTTTTGCGACAATGAATATTAGTCAAACAAGTTCTCAATGAAAGTATCTGTTAGAAGGTTATTTACTTTGTTACTCTCTGATAAAAACGAACGATAATACGAGATTAAGAAAGAAAGATTGTGTTACATTGATGACAACTAATAAAACATATTATTGTTCTACCAAAGCAAAACCTGCCCAGCAAAAATATCTAGATGCATTCGCTGGTGCATCTAGATAGATGAGTAAAAAAAATCTAGTTATCTAGATGCATCGAGTAAAAGCGATGCACTAGGTGCAAGAGGCGATGCATCGCCTACCAATATAGGACTATTGAAACGATAAAAAAGGCGATATTTACAACTAGGCATCAGGAACACGACAACCTTTTCGCTCAACGGCACGTCCGACATCGAATAACACGAATAACGACCTTGTTAAGATATTTAACGAAAAAGAAAAATTGAACAACATTTAAACAGAATAACTGTCTCGCTCGCTCTCCTTCATTCTCGCTCATTTGGAATTATAGCAGTAAGGATTTCCACACGATGTCCCAACAAAGTCCGAAAGTCAGTTGTTTCATGTAGAAATTGTTTTTAATGTGAATCAACACTCATCCGCCGGTGAGGTCGCTTCTTTTTCTGTTTCTATTAGTTCCGGAATTCCTCAAGGGTCAATCTTAGGCCCATTACTTTACCTCATATTTATAAATGACTTACTACAATCGTTAGCTCCTCCACTATTAACATCCCTTTTTGCCGACGTTCTGTTTCTACTCTGTGATCTGGATGAGGCTCAATCTTGTATTGATGAGGTAACTTGCTGGTGTGACACTAACCTCGTTGGTGTCAATATAAAAAAATGTGAGTAGAAAAAAATTGAACGCTCAACAGCCTTAAAATTGCCTGGCATGAGACCTACTCAGGATCTCACATTACGTCTTCACTTGTATAAAACTTGTGTTCGCCCGGCTTTGGAGTATGGTTCTATCATTTCATAATTCATCCTATTCTATTCATTTATCTGTATTAGACAAAGTACAGAATCTAGCATGTAGAAATATACTAAAATGCTATGTATCCAATTCTACTATCCTTTCGAGTCAGTTGAATTTACCACCATTATCCTCTCGGAGAAAATTTTCACATTTAGTTTATTTCTATAAACTTTATCACGGTTGCAGTGCTCTTTCTGATAGCAGTCTTAACAGTCGTCCATCCACCCGTCAAACTAAGAGAAACTCACATAACAAACGGGTCCAGTGCCAGAACTACACTCTAAAATTTGCTTCTGGTTCTTTTGTACCAAAAACTATAGAGGACTGGAACAAATTGCGTTGTACTGTTGTTCATTACAAATTGTCATTGTACTGTTGTTTGCCGTATCATCTCATACCGAGAACAATAGACATTCTGATGCCTAGAGACGAGCGAAGAGTGAATGTGAAGTTAACGTATGAGATGGATATATCATGTTCAATAATAGCTAGTGAACACGCGTAAAGTTGTATGGACACTTGTTGGTTCACGTCCCATGCCGAGCTTTTTTTTTACAATACCGCCGGTTCAATAAAATACCGTCGATATACCAAACCGCGCGGTTAACCGACGGTAACTTATTAGACCGCGTTCTAAGAAAATACCGTACGGTAACCGTTTTTGTCCATTCAACATTGTATTTTGCACTCATGAAGATATAAAAGAAACACAGAAAAATTCGAGAAACTTGATTTCTTTTCCAGATTAAACTTTTCTTTTAGCTCATATAGACTCGCCGAAGTTTGAACGCCGACTCGAGTTAAATTTCTCTCAATCGGGAGCCTGTATGCGGTTACAAGTGCTCAACGACAAAAAAAAGAAACTTGAAAATTAGTTTCGAACTCCTGTTGCATATCACCGGATCGAAAAATTTCAAAAGCTTGTTCGGTCGAAACCGATTGCAGATTCGTTTTCTCCATGGTTGATTATGTGGTACGCAATAACTTTTGGATCGGGGTACTTTAGAAAAAAATTTTCCCATGATCTTGCTCAAAAATTTTTCAGAATGTTACCGTATGGGACCAAAGGCAAAACGATGTCGAAAATTTTTTCTGAAGTACCCCGATCCAGAAGTTATCGCGTACCGCATAATCAACCATGGAGAAGACGAATCTGCAATCGGTTACGACCGAACAAGCTTTTAAAATTTTTCGATCCGGTGATATGCTACGTGTTCATAATGAAAAAAATACCAGACGGTACCTCTGGTTATACCGTGTGGTTACCGTTGGTATACCGGACGGTATTTTCGTTTACTATGACGGTATAGCGCCTAGTAACTGTCGATATTTTGCCGGTATTAAGCACATGGGGTACAAAATAACTTTTTTAATGTGTGCTCGCGTAGTAAATTTATATAGTGCATCTGAACACACTATTTCATGCATGTTCACTGAGGATAGAAGCAGAACTAAAAAGGTATGTGACGCACAAAACGACAAATTCTGAACGAGAGAAAAGAGAAACTATGTCTATAGTATAGTAGCCAATAGACAATCACTACAGCTTTCCTAAATGTAGTAAACGTACTACTATAGGATTCAAAATATAAGATACTATGCACCTCTTTGAATAACTTGGTAATGCAAAGAGATATTCCGAAACGGTTTTCGTCAGTTTGTAACCAAGTCCGGGGGACATCGAACTATAGAAGAAGAAAAATTTTCGACCGGGCTTCTAGAGAGTTTTCAGGTGGATCTTTAGAAAACTATAATGATTTTCAAGGATCCAATATTGGATTATCATATTTAACACATGTATTACAACTACGTAAAGCCGGTGTTTCTAGTTTGTTTTGTTCAGGAGTTATAAGGGTTTTCCAGAGACGTCCGATTTCGGTCAGTTGTCTCTGGATCAGTCGAAAAAAGGCTAGAGAGGGGTAATCGACCACGCTGAGTCGAGTGATGATGTTTGTTTCCAGGCTCAAAGCTATCTGAAGTCACCAGCTCAAAGTTTTCGAAATCCAATTGTTTCCGCTATATACCAGAAAGCGAACAAAAAATACAATTTATGACTGTGGCCTCCATATTCGAAAAACTCGATCGTCATATACTTTTTTACAGCGCGAATACCGAACTTTTCTGTATATTTTTGATGCTTTGTGTATTTGAGTATTATCAAATTGATAGAGAAAGAATGATGAATCATTCATTATTCTCCTAGTAAGCGATAGACTTCATGCATTCCGTCGCTTAAAAGCACGTATAGAAAAACATTAATGCAACTACGTAAAGCGACATTTTCGTAAATATAATTAGTTACAACCAGGAAATATTTCTATCGGTCATTGACACGAATGAGGAAAATGTTCCACGAATGTTTACACATTACACTTTTAGGGCAACGTGTTTACACAGGGAGGCAGATAATTTAATACCGCGTCCACAATCAGCAAATAAATTTTCACTTGTGTTCATCTGTGACCATACAACTATAGTCAGTGAGCATGCATGAAAACCCAAAGTATTCTACAAAATCAATGGTAAATTCTTTCATCTTTTTCATGTAAACAATGTTGTGAAACTTAGCGACCTCTATCATTTCCTTCCAAACAATGAATGATTAGATGCGCCCCTTCGCTTAACACATGATTTTAAAAAAAGGTTCCTGTCCAAAAAAATGGAATTTCTGCAAACGAATCTATTTCAGGAAAACGACAACCTTTTCGATCAACGGCATGTCCGACATCGAATAACACGAATAACGACATTGTTAAGACCAACAAACGAATCATAACAACCAAACGAACCTTTTGTGCTTAAGTAGCAGCACTCAAAACATAACTCGTTGCATGCCTTATACTTTCAACTTGCTTTCCCTCTATTCCATATTATTTTTATCGGTGCCTTATAATGCGAACGGTATTAAACTAATTTATCTTACTAAATTACACATCATGCACAGTATGACTAAAAGAACATTAATTATAGTTTAAAACTATTCTTGTAACGAACAAACACTTCTGTCAAATTCAGAAAAGATAGCCGTGTTAAGATTAATCGATCACATCACACCATCAGTATAGCTTCTGAAAAAATGTGATGATCATCTTCTTCAGAGGTGCCTCAGGAACAAGACAACCTTTTCGCTCAACATCGAATAATACGAATAGCGACTAGGGATAGGACAGTTCCAGTTTCTATAGTTCTTAAGAACTGATCGAAAGAACTGGTCACCAGTTCAGTTCCTGTTGAACGGGAACTGGTTATCAGTTCTTTTCAAGAATTCAAAATAAAATAAAACTGATGTAGCTAGTTATATTGACTTGGCTTAGTCAACTAAACACACCATCTACCTCTGGCGCACTACACAAAGTCAATGTAAG